TTGTGTGTGTGTGTGTGTGTGTGTGTGTGTGTGTGTGTGTGTGTGTGTGTGTGTGTGTGTGTGTGTGTGTGTGTGTGTGAGGGGGGGGATAATTAGAGGTATTCTTTACCCAGTTTTTATTATTTCTAAATAAGGAGATTGTTTTTGTATCGCGAGGAGTGGATACAACACTTTTAGGAAATCGATCTCAGTCAAGCCGCACTTCTCTTCCTCCAAATACGTATCTTGCATCAGTTGATACATCGTACCAATCTCGCCTTGGAATGCAAAGAGTTCATTTCTTACGCGTTGCACACCTTCTTCTATGGACATCCAACTAGATTTGCGTCCTTTCGGCTCAATTCGCTGCTCCAAGATTGCTTTCCTAACGGGATCTTGGAAAGACTAGCATTCCACAAAAAATTCATTTATTTCTCGCAATCATCTCTTGCTACTAATAGTTTTAACACTATAAATTGAAATACTCGGTACTATAAATAAGGTTCGTATTATTAATTTCTGTAGTTTTAATTTACCGACCTTGAAATAATGTCGATTGTACACGACGTCCTGCACACCTAACTTCAAAGGACTGTTCAGCAAATCCGAAAGAGTTTTAATAGAATCCGTAGTAGATTGCAGCAGACCCACGATGTTCGCTGTATAAGCTGCATAGAGACTTAATGAGGCTAGCAATAACATAAGAGTGACGATTCGAGATGCGACTCTGTACGGTTCGTACGAATATCCTGGTAAGGAGATAGAAATTCCATAAATCTCATCTTTTGAATAAGAGACGAAAATAATCTAATTTGTTGTATTTGATTTGAGATTTAATAATATTTCAGAATCCAAGTATTACATATTGTCGTTTTTTTCTACCTTGTTGGGCAAATGCGCCTAGAAGAATAAGAAGATTATCGCTGACCGTTGGTTTGTTGGGATTTAACTGATTCCAATAGGCCGCTGAGTCTGTCATTCTGTCGCGATAATATTCCCATTTGATGGATAAGTAAAGCAAACAGAAGACCAGGATGAGAAACACGGCAATCGCTATCCATACGTTTCGTTGAAAGGGCAGGATGAATATGTTACTCACAGTCGACAGTAAAGGTCGCCGAAATACGAAGCGCGAGCTATATTAATTTGTACAATGAAAAAGAGTAATATAATAAAAGAATAAAATTTCATGACAATTTAATAGAATTTATAATAGAATTTAAAATAATAGGATTGTCCTTTTTAGAAATTAATATCTACATTTGCATTACATGTAGCATCTTGATCTTAAATCAACTGTGAAATTTTAATTTTGTTTTGTTCTTTTAACAAAATTGATCATCATCAATCATATTTTTTAAGCGTAATAAGTGATCTTTTTACCAAGTGTGTGTGTACAGTTGGATATATTGTACAACACCGATACGTTCTGGTACGAGAAATGTGGCGGTGCCGCCGATATCAATCTCGCGTCGATCCAACATTCCGATCATTCCGCTCCAAGAGCCATTTTCGGCGCGATATCCCCAGCTATTTGTAATTTCGAAACTTACCCTATAGTGTGAAACAAAAATACAGACTTTTGAGTTGATGAGTAACGTAATATTTCACTTGTACTTGGTCACATATCACATCTCGTTTCTGCGAACGGAAACGATAAACTATCAATTGTTCAATTGTTCAACAATCTGTGATTATTTTAATTTATATTTTAATAGCTTTTCAAAAATTATTTTTTATATGTACTAGAAAAGATGTCGATTAGAATTAAAAAAAGATGGAAACTGGAAAGTGATAAAAAAAATATCGTTTTATCTTAGTTTAAATATTTTTGATATTTATACGATTATATTGAGATTATAAAGAGCTAACGAATTATATTACAATGTTCGTTAATGAGTTTCGGATTTTGAGCAGCCAATTAGATACGAGCATAATAAACATAATAATCATGCATTGTCGGTTACGATAATTGATTGAAGTATGTCATGCGCTTATTTAATTATACAAGTGGTTCCATTCATGCGTTTGGTCATACATCGTTGCATGAACAATTTAAGAACAATTTATAACCGCAATTTTGACATATGTAATACCGTAATCGTTTGATCACTTCATTAACCTTCTTAATTAACCTTGAGTTTATTACGTTGTTTTTATATTCACGATCTAGAAATTAACGAGATAATCCGTTACAAATTATCGCTGTCGAAATTTATTCCGTAAACACTCGACAAAATATTTTGGCGTCGTTGGTACGACGTCATCAAAGGCCGAACTCACGTTGCATTCATCCGATTCACTAAATGAATTATCCAGGGATAATTAGCCTTTGTTACAGGATCTATGGATTTATCCTTGAAGTCAGTCAGATGATTGATTGTATTGGGTTCCGTCATCTGCAATCGCAATAAATCTTGAAGAATAATATATATATCTCTCTCTGATTTAAAAAATTATTTAAAACCAAGGCTAAATAAGGCTAATATTCTCGAAATTGTATTATAAAAGTGGCTGGTATTTTACTAGATTCGTTTTCGTAATATAGCAATATTATTAGATGTAGCAATATTATTATATGTTGCTCTACCTTACAAAGACAACGATGTCTTATTGATATTTAAATGCATTTTCTTGTACGACAAATATATTTATATAAAGTACCACGAGACAAGATTTAAGTGCTGTCCGTTGAAGATTTTTTCTTCGTGCCGAAGCCACGTCGAAAGTCTTCATTCGCAAACCGTTTTCGATCGTCCAATTTCCACGATTTTCCCATATCACCCCTCGCTGTGGACTCGGTCGATATACAGATAACAATTCGAGAAAATCGCCATGAAACCTTCGTATGAGAATCACGTTGCTATCAGGATAGACCGCCAAATCCTCGAAGATTTCCAATATAGAATCGTCGGTTAGATTGGCTTTATCATCATTATCAACAGCCGTTTTTCGATTTTGAAGAAGCAACCACTTCATCGGTGCGACGAACATTCTCTTTGAATGTGCCTGTCATTTCATATCAGGCAGATTTCAATCGTGATAAATTGAAAGATTGGTGTGAAATATATTAACGACAAAATTGTTTGAGATTCTCATCGATCAAAGTGTCATCGAAATATTGTGAAAGCTATCTTTATTTTCTTGATCCTCTCATATCAAAATTTGTAAAATTTTGTATTTTTATCTACATGTATTTGTATTCGCAATGTCCTTATGATAG